TGGTGGTGGTGGCGGCGCTCACAGCAGTCGTGGTGGCATCTTCCTTGCTGTGAACACAAGAAACAACAAGCGGCAAGAATGTCGAAAGGCTGAACTCTGCAATAGAATGCAGAATAAGGGGCAAGTAGCTAGTCGTAATCAACTATTAGTTTATCATAGTTGATTATAGTGGAATAAATAATGTTTACCATAAATTATGTTTACCATGTGAGAAAGGCTATCGCAATTCTAACAACAAAGAAGCATAGCTACAACCACTCAATAACCTCCACTCTCCACAACAACCATGCCACAACCGTACACAACTGTTATTCATATGTAGCTGGAGGTCTTCCCAAGCTGTAATCATGACGCAAGTGGACCTCTGTTCCTCAAAACACTTTGCAGCAGCCCTTTAACCATTGTTTATCCCTGCGTTGTGTTCATCACTCATTACTTCACCTACACTGCGGCCTGACTCTCCAGGGTATCTGGCAATGTCATGGCTCACCAACCACCCCCTTTTGATCAAGGGTTTAAGGTGTTATTGTGCCCATCATGTCAGATCTTCACCAATTTCTCTCTCCTCTGAGAAAACCCAGACCATTATCACTCGCTCGAAGGGCTAGGGATGAAAACTCAATAGGAGGGTTGGTCTCATTCTGGCATGACGTCTCAAATTCGCCTCTGTGTCTGCTGAGGTGAGCACAGCCTTGCTTTCAAAAGATACGTCAATCCCAGCTCACTCTCAGCACCATTATGTCCCTGTCACTGCTGCTGGAACGGCTGTCCGAGTTCTCCCAGCTCACGGCATCCCACGGTGGATCAATGGCCAACTCGTCCGTTTGGACAGCGGCGTCGACCTGCCCCTTGATTGTGCCGTGCTAGCATCCCGCTCCGCTAGCCGTGTGTCTGCTGATTGTGCGTTTGTTCAGCTGCAGTGGCAAAGCATCTGCAGATTTTTCACTGTGCTTGCTTTTACTCACTCCGAGAGGACTTCCTTCTTCCGGGACTGCACCGTGACCGCCTCCTTTTCCATCTTCTGTCCCTGAGTTGACCCCACCATGGACTCTGGAATGTCAATTTCCACAGTCCGCTCGTAGCCAACGCGCATGAATTCAAGCTGAATTGTTTTTTTCTGCTGTAGCTGATGCGGCTGCTGCTGCTCCTGCAAGTCTTTCCCAGGGGACACTGTGGGAGACAGAGCAGAGAGAGATTAAACGGACAGTGGTCAGTATTGGAAACACAAGCACAGAGCGATGATTGCATCGATGTTCAAAATACCTTTTGGCAAACGTTAAAATTTTCTTTGGTAAGGTCACCTAATTCCTGCCCCCAACCCTTCTCAAAAGATCCACGACGAAGCACTTTGATTGATTGATGCTGTGACGATCATTGATTCATGCCAGCCATCCTGTTGTTCATTGGCTTCCTCATCAATAATGGATAGTTATTACCACGGCCATAGTCATGAATGTAATATCTTGATACCTCTGCTAATGTCAAGGACTCAATTTACTAGGTTGACCGTTTTCTGAGCTCTACCATACACACACACTATATTAGAGGACAAACTACGTATCTTCCTCCTTCTTTCCACACTCTGCTTGACTATCTTTTGATCTTGTGTTTAAGTGTTGTAAGATCATAAATAATAACAAATATATATAAAATTGTTTCAGACGATTAATTAATTCATTCTGGCTGCACCCTTTTCCCCTCAGTTGGCAATGCCATCTGCTTCTTACTCTTTATCAGCGAGTCGTGGAACTTCCTGGGCTGTTGGCACGTGCATGCTCTGATGGCGGGGTCATTATCCCGAGCAGCGGCAGGTGACATTGGTGGTGGTGGTGGTGGCGGTGCTCACGGCAGTTGTGGTGGCATCTTCCTTGCTGTGAACACAAGAAAACAACAAGCGGCAAGAATGTCAAAAGGCTGAACTCTGCATTAGAATGCAGAATAAGGGGCAAGTAGCTAGTCGTAATCAAACTATTAGTTTATCATAGTTGATTATAGTGGATTAAATTATATTCACCATAAATAATGTTTACCATGTGAGAAAGGCTATCGCAATTTCTTACAACAAAGAAGCATAGCCCCAACCCACTCAATAACCTCCACTATCCACAACAACCTTGCCACAACCGTACACAACTGTTATTCATACGTAGCTGATATGTCTTCCCAAGCAGTAATCACGATGCAAAGTGGACTGCTATTCCTCAAAACACTTTGCAGCAGCCCTTTAACGATTGCTTATCCCTGCGTTTGTGTTCATCACTCGTTACTTAACCTGCCACTGCGGCCTGACTCCAGGGTTTCTGGCAATGTCATGGCTCACCAACCACCCCCGTTGATTAAGGGTTTAAGGCGTATTGTGCCCATCATGCCAGATCTTCACCAATTTCTCTCTCCTCTGAGAAAACCCAGACCATTATCACTCGCTAGACAGGCTAGGATGAAAACTCAATGAGAGGGTTGGTCTGATTCCGGGACGGACATCTCGAATTCGCCTCTGTGTCTGCTGAGGTGAGCACAGCCTAGCTTTCAAAAGAGATACGTCAATCCCAGCTCACTCTCAGCACCATTCATGTCCCTGTCACTGCTGCTGGAACGGCTGTCTGAGTTGTCCCAGCTCACGGCATCCCACGGTGGATCACCGGCCAGCTCTGTCCGTTTTGGACAGCGGCGTCGAACTGCCCCTTGATTGTGCCGTGCTAGCATCCCGATACGTCAATCCCAGCTCACTCTCAGCACCATTCATGTCCCTGTCACTGCTGCTGGAACGGCTGTCTGAGTTGTCCCAGCTCACGGCATCCCACGGTGGATCACCGGCCAGCTCGTCCGTTTGGACAGCGGCGTCGAACTGCCCCTTGATTGTGCCGTGCTAGCATCCCGCTCCGCTAGCCGTGTATCTGCTGATTGTGAGTTTGTGCAGCTGCAGTGGCAAAGCATCTGCAGATTGTTCACTGTGCTTGCTTTTACTCACTCTGAGAGGACTTCCTTCTTCCGGGACTGCACCATGATCGCCTCCTTTTCCACCTCCTGTCCCTTGCAGGTGCCCTGAGTCGACCCCACCCTGGACTCTGGTATGACAATTTCTACAGTCCGCTCGTAACCAACGCGCATGAATTCAAGCTGAATTGTTTTTTTCTGCTGTAGCTGATGCGGCTGCTTCTGCTACTGCAAGTTCTTTCCCAGGGGACACTGTGGGAGACAGAGCAGAGAGAGATTAAACGGACAGTGGTCAGTATTGAAACAAGCACAGAGCGATGATTGCATCGATGTTCAAAATACCTTTTGGCAAACGTTGAAATTTTCTTTGGTAAGGTCACCTAATTCCTGCCCCCAACCCTGCTCAATAGATCCACGACGAAGCACTTTGATTGATTGATGTTGCGGCGCTCATTGATTTATGCCAGCAATCCTGTCGTTCATTGGCTTCCTCACAATAATGGATAGTTATTACCACGGCCATAGTTATCATAAATTTAATATCTTGATCCATCTGCTAATGTCAAGGACTCAATTTACTAGGTTGACCCTTTCCTGAGCTCTACCATGCACACACATTATATTAGAGGACAAACTATCTTCCTCCTTCTTTCCACACTCTGTTTGACTATCTTATGATCTTGTGTTTAAGTCTGTTGTAAGATCATAAATAATAAGAAATATATAGCCCTTTGTCAATCCATTACCAACACCTCCCCCATGCCACGAAAGTCATGGGAAGTATTTTACCATTCGTCACTGTGCTCGTCACTGCAGGTGGGTGCAAAATACAACCTGGAATCTGTTCTAAATATAACTCACCACTCATGTTAGCCGCAGCTCATAATTCGCAGTGCAGCACAGAAACAACTTTGAAACTGTTTCAGTCAAATCATTGTTTCAAACGTTTAATCAATTAATTCTGGCTGCCCCATCCTCCCCCGAGTTGGCAATGCCGTTTGCTACTTACTCTTCATCAGCGAGTTATGGGACTCCCTGGCCTGTGGGGATGTGCTTGCTCTGGTGGTGAGGCCATTATCCGGAGCAGCAGCAGTGACATTGGTGGTGGTGCTCACGGCTGTCATGGTAGCATGTTCCTTGCTGTGAACACAAGAAACAATAAGCGGCAAGAATGTCAAAAGGCTGAACTCCACAATAGAATACAGAATAAGGGCAAAGTAGCTAGTTGTAATCAACTATCAGTTTATCATAGTTGAATAGAGTGTAATAAATTATGTTCACTATAAATTACGTTTACTATGTGAGAAAGGCTATCGCAATTCTTACAGTAAAGAACCATAGCTAGCCACAACCACTCAATAACCTACACTATCCACAACAACCATGACACAACCGTACACAACTGCTATTCATATGGAGCTGGAGGTTTTCCCAAGTTATAATCACTATGCAAGCTAACCTATTCCTCAAAACACTTTGTAGCAGCCCTTTGACGATTTTTTATCCCTACGTTGTGTTCATCACTCGTTACTTCACCTACAATGCGGCCTGACTCTCCAGGGTTTCTGGCAATGTCATGGCTCACCAACCACCCCCTTTTGATCAAGGGTTTAAGGTGTTATTGTGCCCATCATGTCAGATCTTCACCAATTTCTCTCTCCTCTGAGAAAACCAACCATTATCGCTCGCTAGATGGGCTAGGGATGAAAACTCAATGGGAGGGTTGGTCTGATTCCGGCATGACGTCTCGAATTTTCCTCTGTGTCTGCTGGAATGGCTGTCCGAGTTGTCCAGCTCACGGCATCCCACAGTGGATCAACGGCCAGCTCGTCCGTTTGGACAGCGGCGTCGACCTGCCCCTTGATTGTGCCGTGCTAGAATCCCTCTCCGCTAGCCGTGTGTCTGCTGATTGTGCGTTTGTGCAGCTGCAGTGGCAACGCATCTGCAGACTGTTTACTGTGCTTGCTTTTACTCACTTTTTCTGCTTTTGCTGATGTGGCTGCTGCTCCTCCTGTAAGTCTTTTTTAAACTGTTCCTTTTTATTATGGTCTGCACAGGTGTTCCCGTGAAGTACCACTTTGCTGTGAGCAGACGGTCCAGTGGTCTGCATGGACAGTTTCCGTGGGGACACTGTGGGGGAAAGAGTGGAGAGATATTAAACGGACAGTGGTCAGTATTGGAAACACAAGCACAGAGCAATGATTGCATCGATGTTCAAAATACCTTTTGGTAAAAGTTGGAATTTTCTTTGGGAAGGTCACCTAATTCCTGCCCCCAACCCTGCTCAATGGATCCACCACGAAGCACTTTGATTGATTGATGTTGCGGCGCTCATTTATTCATGCCAGCAATCCTCTGTCATTCATTCGTTTCCTCATTATTAATGTATAGGTACTACCACGGCCATAGTTCTCATAAATTTCACATCTTGATACTTGTGCTCATATCAAGGACTCAATTCACAAGGTTGACCGTTACCTGAGCTCTACCATCCACACTCATCATATTACAAGACAAACTATGTATCTTCCTCCTTCTTTCCGCACTATGATTGACTATATTTTGATATTGTGTTTAAGTGAGGTAAGATAATAAATAATAATAAGAAATATATTAAATTGTTTCCAACGTTTAATGAATACATTTTGGCTACCCCCTCTTCCCCCGAGTGGGCAATGCTGTCTGCTACTTACCCTTCCCCAGCGGGTAGTGGGACGCCCTGCACCGCGAGCACGTTGTTGCCCTGGTCGCATGGCCAGCATCCGGAGCAGCAACAGCAGCAGTGGTATTGGTGGTGCTGTGAACACACGACAAAAAAAAAGTGGCAAGAATGTCAAAAGGCTGAACTTTGCAATAGAATGGAGAAAACGGGCAAGTAGCTAGTCACAATCAACTAGCCAAGCAGCCACGAGGACTTGTCTACCCAATGAACCTAACCAATTTCCTAAATCGACAGGAGGTATGAGACCTCCCAATACCCTACCTTTAATCCAAACCACACATTTGGCACTTGGCTATGCCCGCTTTTCAGGAAATGCCCACCTTTCAGTTTTGGTGCTCATGGTGCAAGGGAGGATTATCTTGCGTGAACAATCAACAGAAAAGGATTTTATATCTATGCCAAAAAATATTTAAAAACCTCCGCTAGTGCTACGATAATTTCAAATTCAAATATACTAAACAGGTGAGCATGGGAATGAAATGCATAAGTTAGTGATTATATGCAAAAAGAAAAAAAACACATTCTAAGGGTAAGGCGAAAACACCACTGACATCATCTGAAATCACAAGCCAATTGTGGATGGTGAAATCCAATGCTACTGCAGTTAATGTGCAATTCAATACTGAGGCTGCTTGGTGCATAACATGTCTGCACAGCGTGGTGACACAGTTAACAGGTGAGTAAGTTTTCCCGCAATGCTCATTTGTTAAAATTTGGGAGTGGGTTTCCTTTTTCTTGGTATATGTGTCCTTGTTATTTCAAGAAAATACAAATATAACGGACACAGGGTCCTGTCTGTTGGCATGCATCGTACGTACCATTGCCCCAGCAGTGGGATGAAGTTCCTGTACACAGTGACGCGTATAGCAGTACCAGTCTTTATCGCGTTCACCATGGATGAGATGTGTAAGAGTCTGAAGCCAAGCAATTTTGCCTTCCCCACCTTGAACAGCACATCTCCTGTGGAGTGAAACAGACACAACGTTCATCTGCTAATTAGCTCATGTTTGTGCATGTGCTTGTATGTACGTCTTTGTATGGACATGTGTGTGCGAGGGGCTGCACTTGTTCTACCAAGCACCACGGTGGAAACACTGAAATAAGCTCATGCTGGAGGCCCCAGAGGACAAGTGTTTATGACGCCTACTGGCCAAACTCCATTTGGCAGAGATGGAATTAACCCCCCCCCCCCCCCCCCCCCCCATCTTGGGGTTCCTCCAGGAACAGGTTATTGCTGCGATTGGCCACGTGGAATGTTCAAATTATCATTGCAGAGGTGAGGCTGCAACTCCTTTGGCAGGATATGGACGGGTAACACCTGGACCTCTGTGGAATACACGAGGTCCAGTATATCGGTTCTGGCTCCAGTTATCATGAGTGAACTGTTTTCCACTCGGGGCAGTAAACTGCCAAACCACAAGGAGTGGCACTTTCTTTGAACAAAATAATGAAGGCGGTGGGGGAGTGTGGCGGTGAGGTATGGGAAGCTCTTAAGTTCCAGGCTGTCGTGGGTAATTGCTGTTCACTCAGAGGAGTTGGAGGCACTGCTGCTATACCTGGAGTGTGCCACTAAGAGGTGACGTCTTACCATCAGCCTCACCGAAACTAAGCATCTGCCTGGGTATTTTGTGCCATCAAACAATTCACCCCATCAACTCCCCACTGGTGATGGAGTAGTTGTGGAGAGAGTGGAGAGTTTTCCATACCTGGGAAGTATGCTTATGACTAGCTCTGGTTTGACAGGTGAGGTCTCACTCCGAATCAGTTAGGCGGCATTATCTTTTCATTGCCTGCATACTGTTGTGTGGAAGTGCCCTGGTCTATCGCTCTACACAAAGCTTGACGGCTAGTCATGCCCTCCCTTATCTATGCTTGTGAAACATGGATCCCTCTAATGGAACATCTATGCCAGGTAGAAAATTCAGGCTGGCCTGCCTATGATCCATCCTGCGTTTAACCAAGCTGTATTGTGTGAGGAGCTTACAAATTCTATCAGTGAGCTCCTCTGGAAGGTAAGGCTGCGTTAGCTGGGTCATGTAGCTGACATGTCCAGCCACTGTATGCCTAAGCATCTTCTGTTTGGCCAGATAGAGGGGGCTAAACGGGCACAACACGGGCTGGAAAATAGATGGGCTGATGTGGAGCTGAGTGGATTCGCCAAAGACTGGTACCAGCGGTGTCAAGATCGTCCTCTTTGGAGGAAGCTCATGAAGGACGCTACCCAGGCAGTTGGAGGCAGTCGCCCTCCAACAACAACGGAGGGCAGAGGAGCGACGCTCACAATGACTAGCGGAGTGCCAGGCAGCTAAAATGCGGTAAGTTGGCACAGGAGGGAGGTCAGCTGGTGCATCTGCCAGGTATCTCAGTCAATCCATGGCACCTGGTTGTGTCAGGTGACCTCCAGTCAGCGAACCTTCGACACTTTACATGGCCTCAAAGTGCATCTGGCCTGGCACAGGCGCCGTGGTGATGTCACTGACACTTAGTGGTGAATACCGGGTGATGTTGTGTGGACACAACAACGACCTTGAAATATATATAGCCTCACACAAGTGTGGGGTTGAATGGAAATTGCTACGTGTTTGGAGAAGTGGTGCAGGGATTTACGCACTGCACCATAAATCCAGTGACATCAACTGTAATGAATGATATCTAAATGGTGTCCTGGGCCTTTCCGAGATCAATTCCATCTTAAATGAGCACCTGGTGCATTGTATAAACATCAGCATTGGGAATACAAATGTGGCTGGGTGAGGTGCTCACCACGCCAATGTACAACTCTTCATAGGTGCCCACTATTAGAACTTGCCCCATCAGTCTCTCTGCTCGAATTTCATCAGAATAATTTTAACACCAAATTTCACGTGATGTTACCAAACATGTCATCATTGTTGACCGAGCTGAGACCAAACCTGTTTTAGTCACAGGCAGCTGAAACCCAGATCTGAATTCAGGATCTCAAAGGCTCTCAGTTCAGTGTTCTGACCTCTGAACCACTTGGCCACGTCTGATGTACTGTTGTTTTAAAAAAAACATCAAAAACATAATGGGCATCCCTACACCTCATATCGCAGTACTTGCTTGGCCCGTGCATGTGTGCAGTGTCTTACCTGGCTGCAGTATTCCGTTTCGTTGAGCATAACTTCCAGGAGTAAGTGAAACCAGTTGTATATATTCTCCGCGCTGTACGAAATGCAGCCCCCAGCCGATATATTGCTCCATAATTACATATGTCTTAACAATGTGCACATTCTTTGGTTCCAGTTCCGTGCTAAGCGGGAATCCTGCAGCCATAGAGAAGGGAAGGATAGGGTTAGTTAGAAAAAAGTGGTGAGTAGCATAAATACAGCAGTTTTTTTTTGCGACATAGTTTTTAGGTGGTTATTTTTCAAAATAACATCTCTGAGAATGAGAAATGTTGGGCCAAACTGAGTTCCTGCTAAAATGAGAATTGGGGCAGTGATCATCTCCCGTTTACAGCCCTGAGCCAAAGGAGGCTATTACACATTCTTATGACGAGATGGTTTATATTTTCTCCATTAATAAAAACAATAGAAGCCCTCTTAACGACGGTAATTGGTTCTATGAAACCGGTTGTTAAGTGATTTGGTCGTGAAGCGAGTATAGGAAATAAAGTACACCAAGAATTCAAAAGATATGTTTCCACTTCAAAGGCAGCCAACACCAAATGTAAACAATTCCCAATGCTCATGAATAGACATCACTGATTGGCCGAGGCCTGGTCAGATCACTTTGAAGCTTGCCGATTGGCCGAAATGAGCAGTCGCGTGCTCGTCATACGCCCATCGTTGACATAGGAATGGTCGGTAAGCGAACACATTGGGCTCTATGGAGGCCCTACACTACTATACACTCCACTTCTATACACTACACTATACAATACACAATGGGCTCTATAGAGGTCCGTCGTTAGTTGTCAACCGGGGTGGTCGTTAAGTGGGGTTCTACTGTATGTGTATGTTTCTCCAATTAAATTATATTTTCCTAATTTCACTGTGAATAATTCTGGGAAAAGTGTCAGCTTGTCTGATTTCCCTCCGAATATGCATATTGATATTTCTGAGTAGAATGCCTTTTCATAGTGTAAAAACGTCAGGTTCATGGGTAATTGAAATTAATTGGTATTTTCCAGAATGTGATTACTGATATGCATAGGGTCGGGCACCCATATGCAACTAATTACAACAATTTGGTGGGCTTTGGCAGGACCTGTCACCATAAGAAATTACGGAAGGTCGAAAATATTAGTGGTGTAGCAGCCAAGGAATGGAAGGAATCCAAGAGTACATCGTATTATGTAACCCTATTATCCGTGAATTTTGCGGATAAGAGTCACGTGAAACATACATCATATTATCCAGATACACAAACATGGACACACGCGAAAATACGTAAAGACACAAAAACAGACAGAACATACCCACTGAAACATGCATAATAAACACACGACATGGATACACGGAGACATATAGAGACAAACAGAAACATGGAGACATTCAGAGACACACACAAGCACACCAATACAGAGATCGAGAGACACAAACAGACACCGAGATGCAGGTACTGGACTTAGAGACACACATAGAGATAAGTAGAGAAAGGTAAAGTACAAAGACAGAGATGGCGAGAGACATATAGACAGAAGCACTGAGACACCTAAGAGATATATGGTTGAGCAACATGCAGGTACTAGACTCAGAAACACACGTAGAAATAAGGAGAGGAAGGTAAAGTACAAAGACAGAGATGTAGAGAGACACATATAGACAGAAGCACTGAGACACACGAGAGATATATGGTTGAGCAACATTGAGTGTGTGCAGACACTCTGTTATGTTGTAGGTAACGCAACATTATCAGTGGTTTTCATGGCCAGACACTTGTGCACACACAAACACACGCGCGCCGGTATGTGTGTAGGCCCTGAGAAACCCCTTAATAAACCCCTCGACACGCAACAGGCTCCCGTTTTGTCAACCAGGAATAACGTGGACTAGCAGCGTGCGTGATTACGATATTGCGTGTCGTCACCGTGAAGTGAGATCACGTGCGAGGGGCGGGGCTTAATTATGTGACGTCACATACCCGCAGGCCACGCCCATTATCTAGGATTATCTGCGGATTATTCTATACATTTTTGTGGAATGGAACCTTATTATCCGTGAATTTTGAGGAAAAGAGGAGTTATGTGAAAAAAAACATTATCCGCGAATAAACATCGACACACAAACATGGAGACACAAATCATCCACATACATAAAGACACAAAAATAAGCATAACACACCCAGAGACATGCATACACACACAAAGACACGGATACACAGATAAATACAGACATGGAGACACTCAGAGACAAACACATGCACACAAATACACTGAGATAGAGAGACACAGACGTCGAAATGCATGTACTGTACTTAGAGAAACACATGAAGATGAGGATAGAAAGTTAGAGAGTACTTAGGTAGGCCCGGAGAAGCCTCATTATTAATCCTTGCTTCATGTTTAAAACTCTTGATCCGCCCTCGACAAGCAACAGGCTTCCGTTTTGTCAACCAGCAATAACGTGGACGAGCAGCGCGCGCGTGATGATTGCTTGCCGTCACCGTTGAGCTTGATCACGTGTGGGGGGCGGGTGCTAAATTTATGACGTCTCACATCCGCAGGCCACGCCCACTCCACGCTGGCCCCGCCCCCTACATCCTGCCCGCTCACTGCTCTATTAAGTTTTGATTTAAAGCTTTCGCGACTGCAGGAATTAATATTCTTGGTTCTTTCGGTAAAGTCACGTAGAAGGGAAACAATAAAATAAAAAAAAATATTTTTTATTATTTCACAATAAAACAAAAATATATTTGTATTATTTCATTGTTTTCCGTCTACGTGACTTTACCGAAAGAACCAAGAATATGCTCCATTAAGCTTTGGTTTAACACGTAGGCTTTTGCGGCCAATATCTGTAATATAGGTTTTTTGGGTTAGACCTTGTAAATATGCATGTGGCGTTAAAGTCGCAACTATGTGCATGCATAATGTACGCTGATTACCATATGAATAACCCAACCGGCAACGGATAGCCATTATAATTCATGTTTTCATCTCCCCCTCCTTTGCACATCACAAGATATCATCACATCTATCCGTCTATTTAAAGAACAAAATAGAATTTCTCCACAGATCTGGCTGTCGCCTGACGAAGCTAGTTGTAATGACTGGCGAAACGTCGTACTCGGATTGTAAATGTTCTGTATTTGCTCTCCAACACACCGGTGTGCTGTACCAGTAACGAATTGGCCACATTCTGTTTACGTTGCAACCCTTACTAATTTGCTGTGTCGGGTGGTTGCGGGTTTAATATTTACGCGATCTAACCCAAAAAAACCTCTTAAGCCTTGTCTTCACAATCGCTGAACGCGGGTCCACAATGCAAAGCAGTTGGCAACAAAACGGTACGATCTAACTTGCAATATACTGTATGTGTAAATGTCACGGTTGTTAAAATGAGCACGGTTGTAAGAGTCAGTCATAATTTAAAACATTTCGCTATCTTCATAGATGTTCTAAATGAGCAAAACTTAGGAAGAGGATGTCTGTTGAATTGTTTAGTGCTGTAAGATTAACGTCCCAGCGGCTGTTTGGTGTGCAGAATAATGGTGTGGTGTAGATGTCTTTCCAATTTTTGTTGTTGTTTTGCAAATCGTTCGCTTAGTTTAGATAGTTTATGATACTTTACATAAAGGGAAGTGTCTGGACTGAAAAGAGGCCACTGACTTCGGCTAAACGGGACATTTCACGAGTGGATCACAATTTACATCGTCCACTGTGTACTCTCTGCCTTCCCCGTCGTCTCCTGCCTCTAGTCACGACTCCTCGCTACTCTCCCAATCTTACTGGCCGTCTATCTTAGTCCTCTATATAGCCTCCCATATCACCCCTTCTCTCATCATCATCATCACGGTGGCTATGAGATGGTAACTACCTCGCCTGGTATACAGGAGGTCGTGGGTTTGATCCCGACCCTGACGCCTGCTGTATATTTGGAGTTTGCGTGTCTCTCTCCCCGTGGTTGCATGGATTTTTCTGCGGGTCCTCCGGTTTTTCCCTCCACATTTAGAAACAAGCGTTTAGAGTATTTGACTGCTATAAATTTCCACGTGATTAACCACTTTGTTGGTCTATCATTTGTGACCAGGTCACTTCGGAAAAAAAGAGCTATCTAGCTCAGTGGGCCTTACCTGGTAAAATAAACATAGTTTAGTCTAGTTTATAAATGTGTATTCCAGGGTCGATCGGCAGGTCGCGTGTGGTGGAGTAAAGTGTGTGTAGTTCTACCTCTTCCAAGACGTACTGGCCGGTGTGGAAGAGTAGACCAAAACACCCTCTGGAGTAGCTCTATAGAGCTATCTGTAGTTGGACACCCTTCAGCCAGCAGTGGCGTGAGCAGGTAATTGCAGAGCTGCGCATTTACAAGCAAAGCTTACCATTCTTATCACATGCTTTATAGTTTGTGGGGGGGGGGGTGTTCCGTTGATGTGTTATGATAACGGCAGTCCCAAGCGCACGTGCAGTGTTGGCCGCGTGAACAAAGCGAAGTGCTCTGTGTCAGTGTCCAAACATTGCATAAAATACAAGAGGCTGGCAGGGCTCTGCTGTTTAATCTCAAGAGGAAGTCATTGGCCTAATGCAGGCCTTCAGTGATTCCCACTCGGCCAACAACAACACCAGCTGACTTTCTGCAAAAGCTGTGGATTCTTTAAAATTTCTTCCAAACATCGCTGTCCCTCTGCGTGTGTGTTCGTTAGGAGTGGTGGCTCTGGTGCAGTCGTTCGTGCATTGTGCTACAAAAAAATATCCACCCGAGTTGGATCCTCCGTCATGGATTCCATCAGTCGCAAGCTCGGTTTGCCACCTTTATCGCAGACCAAACCCTGCAGACCAGTTTCTCAGCCGGACTGGTTCTGTCAAAACTGTGCTGTAAATTGTCATACAAGTTCAGCACCTCCAATTATCACGTTTGCCTATGTACGGTGCGAAAAATGTTCAACATACATACAACGCAATACGTGTGCCGGTTCTCAGCACAAATCCATTCCTGCTGCCACCCGAACACATGTCAAATCCCATGACTGACTGGCTCAATTCCGGACGGGTAGCAATCCTCTTGGGTGAGTGTTACTGGGTGAGTGGGAAGTGGTAGTGTAGCGGTTAGCGCGCTGCACTGCGAACCCGGAGACCTGAGTTCAATTCCCGCTCACGGCCAACACCAGTGACAATTTATTTATCAGAACAGACCTTAGGTCGACTCGGCCTTAAATGAGCATCTGGTGAGGGATATAAACATCGCCACTAGGGAGACAAAGGCGACCGGGCGTGGTGCTGGCCACCCACATGTTCCGTGCCGTTCTTGATAGGTGCTCGCTAACAGAACTGGCCCCAACATTATGTTCAGGCTATACTGGGGATCTTTATCTTTGTAAGGGACCACAACGTGTGTGTGAGAGTTTGTAGAGCAGTGACGTTATAATACTGTACGCCGTTGCATTTGCATCAATGTTTGGTTCTATTTTTTGGTCTAGCACATAAGGGACTTTGGTATTTCTGGATGACATTGGCCTCCTCTACGTGACTCAGCCTAAACGGAGTACTGGTCATTCTTACAACAGGAAGGCAATGACCCAAACGTTCCATGTTCAATCCGGCCCAAAGAGGCACTCAATGGCCGTTTTCCCCAATAATCTAACTTTGGCTTAGAAGAGTATCTTTGTTTTTTTTGCGTGTGAGCTCACAAAAAATGTTGTGCTCTGCACGCAAAGCTTTATTTCTGCTGACGTCTGACCTATTGTGTCTGGATATTGATGCGAATAAGGGAGAGAGAAACGTCGTGCTTGTTTATTGGACGCTATCGCTGGCCCCAGGGTACCAACGTTTATTTAACTTTCCTGTTTATTGTGAGAGCTTGTCACTGGCTCGTGCAAATAGACACAGTGCCAAACACGAAGCGTGTGTCTCAGCTCAAAATCACGTAGAACTTGTACGCTGAGCTTGGACTGCGAGTCAAAATGAGGCTGCGGCTTCCTTGTTCGTATGCTTGCGTGATTAGCAGCTGCGCCGGCTCTAAAGGACATGCTGGGGTCGGCCCTGCACCACCAAATGTCCCTTTGAACCACAGAAGTTCAAACACCATTGCAGTGACCACAAACACTTGTTGTTGTTGATCTTCTTGCGTACTGTATGTGGCCAACCGTGGCTAATCGGAGGTGTGGGAGGACAATAAACTAAACACAAAAACCAGTTCGAAAGAAATGAGTTTTCAATCTATATTTAAAATAGCATAGCTACAGTGGCTTCCTAATATCGGAAGGAAGAGCGTTCCAGACTGATGCAGAAGCGCATCTGAAAGCGCCACGCGATGCAGTGACCGTCTTTGCTCAATGGCGAGGATGACCGGAGTTTGCCTGATGGGTTATGCTCTTCGACGAGATCAGCGAGGTATTGTGGTTCATTTGTTGCAACCACTCTGTGCGTACTGTCCCCCCCGCCCAACCACACCTGACAGCATTGCTGTATTTATGTTGAGGTCGATGCTGCTGCTGAGCCAGTCGCGGGATACGGGAGCGATGTTTGTGAATGTCTGAGACGCTGTTGGCGATTGAGCGGAGCGCGGGCATTACTGAACGGTGCGTTTCGTGGTTTTTGGCTCTGACAACCACGATCGCAGTGTGGAAGGGTAGCGGGGTGGGGGGGCGCTTTTCATCTCCCACCGGTGTCACGCACGGGTGGTTTGCCACACCTGCCGTGTTATGTTTGGATGCGGTTCAAAGCGGACCGCGTGCTCCTTGGTAAGGGTCCCATCCCAGCGGGGGCACGCTCTGCCGTGGGAGCAGTGATGAGGCTCGGTAATAGGAGGATGGAAATCCATTCGGTTCAGCAACATTCCTTTCACATCGTCCAGTCAGCGCGTTGACACGTTTGACGCCCAACGACTTGATTATGTATGTTTGAGAATAGGTTTCCCCTTTTTTCTGGCAACAAAACAAGTGTTAAGATGTTAAAACACCAAACTGAAACCTTGTACAAGGAATCATGTCTGCATTAACCACAATACTTGTGGTCAGAATGCAAACAAATAACTTACTCTGATAATATGATGCATTGTCTTTGAAACTGATTGGTCCACACCAGAGACAGCTTTCTTTTGAGCCTCGTCTCAAAACGGTGTTAGACCAGAGCCTAGTCTCAAAACGGTGTTAGTACGTAGCCAAACGTACTAATCGGAGATGCGGGGGAAGGACAACAAACTAAGCACAAAAATAAGTTCTAAATAAAAGAGTTTTTAATACAGTAAAGTGGTGTAGTGTATAGTAGTATAGTGTACTGTATAGTATTTCCGTATATAGTGATGTATGTTGAGCTTCTTTTGCACCGTACGTATCCAACCGTGCGAATTAGAGGTGCGGCGGAAGACAACTAAACACAAAAGGCAGTTCTAAAGAAATTAGTTTTCAATCCAAATGTTTTAACAGTGCATAGAGCGTTCCAGCCGGCCGCAGAAGTGCATCTAAAAGTGCGCGTTGTGGTGACCGTTTGTTTGATGGCCAGCCAAAAGCCGCCTCTGCTGCGAGGATGACCGGATTTCGCTTGATGGTTTATGCTACTTGACCAGGTCAGAAAAGTATCGTGGTTCATTTCTAGCAAGAAGGATTGTATCCAAAACGGGCGGACGAGGCAGCGCAACAAGTAGAGAATACAGTCTGAAAACACGCGCGCGTGTTGGGGCACACACACGCAC